TTTTTTTTTTTTTTAATTTATTTATGATAGTCACAGAGAGAGAGAGAGAGGCAGAGACACAGGCAGAGGGAGAAGCAGACTCCATGCACCGGGAGCCCGACGTGGGATTCGATCCGGGGTCTCCAGGATCGCGCCCTGGGCCAAAGGCAGGCACCAAACCGCTGCACCACCCAGGGATCCCCCACTTTCTTTTTTAAAACATGAACATGCAAATAGGAATTTGCTTTCATTTCTAAGTTGCTCGAGTTTTAATAAAATCAGATAAGATCATGGGAGAGGCTAGGGGCTGGGAATCAAGCCCTGGCTGAAAATCAGAACCCACAGGCACCCTGCCCAACTTCCACCTTTAGATGACCTCCATTTTGCCCGAGCGCTGCAGGAGAGAGGAGATCCACTTTCAGAGACACTGCAAAGAGAGACTTCAGGCCTGGGACAGCAAGCAGGGCAGTGAGGTTCTGCTATCACCACCCACCCTGGGTGGGAGGAGACAGGAGACAGAAGATCTTTACTGCAAAAGCAGAAAAGCCTGGGAGAAAAGACCTCCAGGCCCAGACATTTGAGGACCCCTCTCTAGTGGAAAGGCCAGTGTGGCCCTGATCACCCCATAGGGAGAAGCCAACCCATCACAGGACCCACACATCCAGGCAGACTCCCCAGAAGCTTTCAATACAGGGGCAGAGTCAGAGATGACCAGGCTGAGAAAAGCCCCAGCATGTTCAAAACAAACAACAGGAAAAAGGAACACCAAACAAAGAACAAGAGGATACTTTTAGAAACAGCAAAACACCCAGTGGCTCCTTGGAGTAATGAATGACTCTAGGTCTGGGGCAGAAAATGCACACTATATGCCAGAAAGCAAAGAAACACTCAAGACCAGTGGGTCATGGGAGAGAACTCAGGAGCCTGCTGAAAGGAGTCTCACTGTCCAAAGATAGAATAATTTGAGCATTAAAAAGGATGATGGCAGGATCTCCTGGTGGTTCAGTCAGTTGAGCATCTGCCTTTAGCTCAGGTCATGATCTCAGGGTCCTGGGATGGAGCCCCACGTCGGGCTCCCTGCTCAGCAAGAAGCCTACCTCTCCCTCTCCCTCTGCTGACCCCCCTATTTGTACTCCTCTATAAAATTAAAAAAAAAAAAAAGAATGATGGCTTCAATGGATTAACCCACTGAATATGTTCCTTCATAGAAGCACACACACACATATTTGATATGTTTTAATTCATCGAAGCCATTATATTTTTGTCAGCTCAAATAATTCCAGCTAGTGTATACAGGGATAATTTTAATGTGAAGGTAGAGCAGAAGGAGTTAGATGGCTCCATTTTTGTGACCCCCAGTGAAATGACCAATTCAGGCAGTGATGGTTAACAGATGGTAAAAGCATTAGGTGAAAGGCTGATGAAGAACCTTACAAGAAGGCCTGAGGTGAGCACCACCTGAGCCCCTTGGTCAATCCTCAGCATTAAAAGTGGGACATCCTGCCATTATGTGCTTCCTGGCATGAGCAAAAGGTACAAATTGCACCACCCCTATTCTTGCCAAGAGTTCAATCAAACCACCAGTTTCCAGGAAGTATGGGGGAGAAAAAAACATGCTAAAGAACACCATAGGGGTGTAATCAGCCAAACCCAAAATTCGAGAGGGGATGCTATAGGCAAATGACCCCATTTAATCAAGTAAGTGGCAAGAAAAAAATAAAAGAAGGGAATAATACTCTAGATTAAAAGAGACTTAAAAAGAGATACACACCCAAATCTGATAACCATCAACAACAACCAAAAACAAAATTAAAGGACTTTTGGAGGAGGCAATTGGTGAATTTGAATAAAGACTAGATCTAGGATGACTTTGAGGAATTATGATTACTTTTGTTAGGTGGGGCTTACTTTTCTTATGGTTCCACTTGCCTGTTCGCTTTTAGATTCATAGTGACCAATTTGGGGGAAATGCCTCCTCTTGTCTGTGATTTGCATTAAAATTCTCCAGCTGAAAAGGAGGAGGGGGTGAATAGATGCAGCCAGTGTGGCAAGATGATAAGGGTTGTTGAAGCTGTGCAGTGGGTACACAGGGCTTGGTTGCACTCTCTGCCTTTGTAGGCATTTGGAAATTCTCAGAATTAAAGCAAAAATCATGTATCGAATATGTGATTTTTAAGTAAAAAAACAACAAAAAAGCCTCCACCAAATGAGTAAGAAAATCCCTGATTATCAATTCACTATGCCAAAATTCTCCCTGAAACTATTGAGCAAGGTTATGAGTGATGAAAACTAGTTTCCAAAAACTCTTTATCAGATTTATTACTTATTTCCCACATGAGCGTGTATCTATATGTACATCTGCACATCTACAGCTGAGACAGAAATCCGTAGTTACACACTCTTATGTAATATATTTCAATAGGCTATATATAAAATATGCTATATATTATATATATCAAAAAGCAGCATAGTTCCATTTTCAAAGATTTGTAAAAGAGAGAAAAGAAATAGGAAGTTCTCTATAGCTCCATTTTAACACAATCACTGTTAACATTTTCGTGTTATTATTTCGCCTTATTATTTACGTTGACGTAACACTTCTTTACTTGGGTATTCTGAATCCTTCAATGAATGCAGCGTCATATTTTTGAATGTTACGTTGCTTTCATGACCCTTCTGGAGCATACTGTGTCTTTCTATGACAAATGTAGTAGATGTTGACCATAGAAGACCAGAAAGTGTAGGAGGGCGGAAGGAAGACCCACGTTCCCCAGCCCTTCACTGAGAGATAGTCCTACACGTCCAGTGCTCAGACACAGTCTAAACTACTCTGCAGCAAGGGATGGCTGCCTCCTGGTTTCCCCTTGTACAGAAATAAGGCTGCCATGGATATTCCTGTGCATAGAGGTTTTATTGTTTTTAAGATTCGTTCCTTGAGATAGATCGCCATAAAGTTTGTTATTTTCAGAAATGTCCACTTAGAATCGGGTCCCTTTTGTTGAATGTAAACCTGAGTTTGGGCTGTCTGGTGCAGCCACAGTCCCACCCCACGAAATCCAAGGGTCCCTCCCAGGATTTCAGAGGATTGAGGCACAACCCTGGAGCCCGACATCCAGGGCTCAAAACTAACCTCTGCTGTGCACTGGATGGGCATTTGGGCCATTCACTCTCGTGAATTCACACAGAAAACTCTATGTTTCAGACTCTACCATCTCAAGAGCTGTAAACAGCATTTCCATAGAAGTTTGAAGATTCCAGACATGGGAAGTGGGCAACCTTCACCTGTCTACTCACCCCCAACAACGCGCCACATTTGGGTGTGGATGTGAATATAGATCTTTCCTGACTAAAGGGTCTACAGCTTATGGGGGTCAGAGATCCAGAAAAGGTCAAGAACCTCTGTCAGACACAAGCTCAAATGTTGCCAGATGGGGATGGAGTCCAATGGAAGAATGTCGGTGTTGGGGTGGCCCGGGTGATCCCAGGGGGCCCTGCCAAGGAGCCAGCCACCAGCCCTCTGCCCTTCACATCCACATAGCAAGTCAGTGCCTCGGCGGAGGATGGAAAACACCTTTCAGGGGTAAATGGGCAAGAACCTTCAGGCCTCCTTTTTTTTTTTTTTTTTTTTTTTTTTTTTTTTTTTTGGAAGAACCTAAACATTTTCGAACCATAAAGGCCTGCCCAGGGATCACCTGGGTGGGATGGGCAGGCTGTGGGGCACCAGCGTTCTTCAAACAGCAGCAGGCTCACAAATCCTTTGGGGACCTTACAACAATCCAGATTCTGAATCAGGAGCTCTGGGGTGGGCGCTGGGATCCTACATTTCCAAGCAGCTCCTGGATGCCACCTGCTCTCCCTGGACTGCCCGCTGAGCAGAGGGCAGGCATCCTGGCCCCACTCACCAGCCTGAGCACCCTCTCTCCCGGCCTCCTTTGTCAGCTCCATGCCTCCTGCTGTCCCCTCAGCCCTATACTCGGACCCTCCAGCTCCCTCATAGGTAAGTGACGCTGTGCTGATGAGTGAGTAGCTGTAACTGGGAACCTCCATGTCTGTAGCGTGTTCCGCAGGCAAGTGCTGGCAGCCCCAGGATGCAAGGTGGGGACAGAGGCCCAAAGCACACAGCCCCGGAGTGGGAGGGAGGAGACTCATCTCAGCTCCCTCCATTCTCACAGCCGAGGTGGGCGGGCAGAGCTGGCCTTGCTACAGCCCCCGAGGTGGCCCGGGGAGAGCACGCACAGATGCCCAGGAAGCAGCAGTGGGAGCCAGCCCGCCATCGGGGCGAATCTTGTCTTTCCCATGGGGGACCCGACGGCAGGCTCTGGGGGCGGGGGCCCCCATCCTGGGGAGCTCCTGGGGGTGCCTGGGAGTCCGTGTCAGGAGCAGGTGGTTGTCCTCTGGGCCCAGGGCCCCAGCTGGGACTGTTGGTATGCAGAAGGCCCTGCTTGGGGCAGCCGCAGCAAGGTGGGCTCTTCAGGTGGGTCTGGGGGTCAGCCCATCGGGAGCAGCGGGGCCAGGAAAGGGCAGAGCCCTGTGGGCTGGGGGTGGGGAGTGTCAGGGCAGAGTGTGGCCGGCTGTGAATGGCCCTGATGGGCCCTGAGGGGAGTCTTGTGGGCGGCAGGGGCCTGCAGGTCCAAGCCAGGGGGTGACCTACTCGAGGAAGGTGTATGGAGCTGGGCGTGGAGGCAGCAGGCGGGAGCCAGGCCGGGCAGAGGCTGCTGGGGTGGGGGGCAGCCGTGAGGGAAGGGTGCCTGGGGTGGGGGCACCCTGCATCCCAGCTTCCCTGAAGGAAGGGCTGGCGACATCCCTCCTCAGCTGAGCCCCTGGGGGAATGTGTCCAGGGAATAGGGGAGTCGGGCTTGGAGCTTTGGATGCCCCCACAGGAGGGGCAGGGCCAGGCTCAGCTCTTAGAGCCCCTGGCCTCAGTTTCCCTGCTTTAAATAAGCCCAGGGCCTTATCCCGGGGTCTGGCAGTTCCCTGGCGTGGACAGAGGTGAGAGGGCAGGGCCCTCCTCACAGCCTCTGGGGGGGGGGGGGCGGGCATGTGGTGGCCCAGCTCGGACCTCCGGGTTAGGGCTTTGTCTCCCAAGGGGCCCATGCAGGCTGGGGGCTGCCCTGCATTCTAGGACAGCAGGAGATTCAAACCACAGGCATTTCTTCTCCCTGGAAAAGGTGATTGGAAGTGCCTGGAGCGTGGCCCCTCTGGGATGTCCAGGCTCCCGGCCTTCATCACTCACTCAGTGGAATTACCAGGCTTCTGACCTCTGGACAGAGCCAGAAACAGGAGCCCCTGTTTACAAAGCCCTCCCAGCTGGGATCTTAGGATGCTTGCCGGGCTGCAGGCAGGACAGAAATCAGGGTCCCCCATCTGAGGACACAGAGGCTGGGTGGGAAAATGACTTGCCCAAGGTCACACAACCAGTCACAGCAGACCTGGGATTTGAACGGAGGCTGGTCTGACCTCCCTGATGTCAGTTGGTCTCAGAGCAGGGTGTGGCTGACCAAGTACAGTCCGACCTGGCCACCGTGTGCACCCATACTATGCAATTCTCATCTGGCTCCATGTCAACATGGCCCCTTTCTGAGAAGGACTAGTAACAGACCACAGGTTATATGGGTGGGCTATGGATTCACGGCTGTCGTGGTGCCAGGGGTCCCAATTAGGCGGCTGGCAATTCTTTGAGCACCTACTACATGCCTGAAACCATTCTTTGCCCTTGGAATATAGCAGTATGCAAGACCAGCCTGGCTTTCATGGGGATCTCTGGACTTGGAATAAAACCTCTAATTTGTTAGTTTCAAGTCTTGGGCAAGGAACTCCCAAACCCTGAGCCTGCTGGCTCATCTGGAAAGAACAGGAATAGTAACACCTTCTCATGGGGTTGTAGATGTGTGAGAGGTAGCAGGCCTGATGCACTGAACCATGCTCCTCAACCTGCCCCCCCCCAACTTGCAAACCCAACTGAAGGAACCCGAGAGGCCCAGAGAAGTGCAGTAACTTGCCCAAGGTCACACAGGTATCCCTGACAGTGAGGACCAAACCCAAGCTCCTTCCTGCTCATTAGGCACTGACTGCTTCTCTGTAGGATTCCACATTGGTCTGGGGCAGAGATGTCTTAAAAAGGGCGGTGGGCAGTGCATAGACCCCCTCCCCCCACCCACTCCAGGCCTGGAGACTAGTTGGGGAAGCCAGCTGGGCAGGTGGAAGCATCTGTGGAGATGTGGCCACCTGGGCTGGCTCTGGGTTCAAAGGTGAGAGAACCAGTCTTGGGCACCATTGGCTCTTTGCAGAAATCAGTTTAATGGTTTAGGAATGTGTACACTCTGGCTCTGTTTCCATAAAGGCAACTTTTCCATGTTTTAAAAAATAGATTTGCTATAAAGATTTCGGTATCATAAATAGATCATGTGAAAAATCCCCAAATGCAAACGGCATCACTGGGCTCGCTGAGGCCTTCCCCACAGCCCAACAGTCTGGGCTGGCAGGGCGCACAGGGCTGGAGGCCCCACCCCGCAGCCCTCCTGGGAAAGAGTAATCGAATTCAATATGAATTAGGAGCTCCCTCCAGCTCCATGCCTGCTGGGGCCTGATGTCCTTGCAGCCCTTTCGGAGGACAGGGACCCACCTCTCTGGCTTGGGAATCCCGACCCGCGTCCCTTGCCTGCCCCACTCCTCCTCCGGAGTATAAAACACCAGCCTCCTTTTCTGCAGCCCACGTCACAGGGGCCCCACCCAGGCCTCAGACGGTACTCTCCTTGGGGCCTGGTGGCTGCCAGGACACTTCCTGGCCCTCTGTCCCCTGCCTCCTCTCCCACACCCTGGTCTGGACCCCACCTGTTCCTGCTCTTGGGCAATTTATAAACAGAGGAAGAGATTAAGCTCTCTGGCCCCAGAAGCCCTGGGCTGCTGCAGAAGGAAACAGAGGTGGATCATGTTGTCTCAACACTTCCCCATTTTCTCTTACCCAAGTGACAGAAGACCGAGGCCCAGGAGACTGGGATGGGCCCCCCACAGGCAGTCCAGCCAGCACACGGTCAGCACACCAGCATCGGGACCTAAGCACCAGCATTTGTGTGGGGAAATGGTCTCTGAGCCTGTGGGAAATGGCTCCTGCTCAGGAAGAGGGAGATAAAGAACTCATTCATGCCAGAAGGTTCTATGACCAAGGGACTAGCTTGGGGTGGGGCCAATTCTCAGAGGTGTCTAGGTGGGTCATCTGTGGGATCCTAAACGATATGAAGAGAGGCTGGGCAGGGGGAGGGAGTGGCCTGGGCAGAGGGTGGTCCTAAGGGAGGCCAAGGCAGAGCTGTGGAGGCCTTGGGCATCTGGGTGGAGCATGGCCTGTATCCCAAGGGCCCCAGGCACGCTGGAAGGGGAGGGGGCAGCATCAGCAGTGACCTTTTACAAGTGCCACTCTGACTGCAGCAGGAGGGTGGTTTGTGCTGCGCAGGCTAGAAGCCCAGGGGCCAAGGAGGTCCACAAGGTGTCCAGGGGAGGCTGGGGCCTGTCCAGAGAAGAGGCGTGGGGACTGGCGTGGAGGTGGGATCCCAGCACTGTGGTAGGGTGCGGAGAGAGAGTGAGGAGCCTGAGACAACCCCTGGATTTCTAGGCTAACCACCTGGAGATTAGGGTGGCAGGAGACCACACGGCCCAGCGTTTTGGACACTGTAGGACTGTGACAGGCAGGAAAGGGAAGAGTTTTCGTGGTTGCTGGGTGAGCCGTGAGGCCAGTCCTGGCTGGGCCAGTGATCTTTCCCCTTTCTCAGCCAAGCCTCTGCAGGGTTTCCGGCCTTTAACCCCTGGGTCTGGAGGAGGAGGGGGATGGCTTAGAGTCCATCATCAGCCAGCTACCTGCTGCTGTGCCTGGATCCTCATGGCAGCCCAGGGCATCCCAGTGCAGGAGATGGAATGCAAGGACCTCCCACTTTCCCCAAGCCATCCCAGGTGGAGGCAGAGGGGGACAGCAGGGAACAACAGGGAGGGTCCATACCTGTGCTCACTGGCAACTGAGGCCGCAAGTCAATCTTGGGGTGGGGGGAGGGGTAGGCCCAGGCCTGTGCTCTAAGACCCTCTACATCCCCGCCACCACCCACCCCCAAAGCAGCAGGTCTCTACAAGGTCAGGATTCACAAAGTTTCTCTTCCAGCTTGGGCCCAGCTTGAATGCCCAGCTCTGCCCAAACATCAGTCCCCTGGCAGAGGTCATGGGGCTGGAGGACCTTTGCCCTTGGCCTGAATGTGCCTCCTTCACAGGAACTTTCTACTTTGCAGGTAGAGCCCAGGAACTGCAGGGGAGAGGCCTGCCAGCAGCTGGGTCCCAGGCCCTGCTCACCCCACCCCACTGGCAAGGCCATTCAGGGAGGAAGCCCAGCGGCCTTCTCGTTCCCTGCTCCCACCCCATCCCGGACACCAATGGACTGGTTCCCTTCAGCAAAGACACCCACTCAGTAGCTCCTGGTCCAACCAGGCCAACATCCTTCCTCTCCAGAACCAGGCTCAGCCATCCCATGGCTGCCTCCCTGACTGAAAGGGAGTCACCAGCCCTGCCTGTCTGGGTCCCGGCCAGGGAAGCCTTCCATGCCTGACCCTGCTTCACCAGACTGCCGTGGGTCTGGCTGCTGGCTCTGTGGTCAGGCCTGCCTGGGAGAGGCAGTGACGCAGAACAAAGGGCATGAGTGGAAGGCCAGGGAAGTCAGCTGGAGGTCCGTGGCCCACCTCTGGGGTTGGGGCTGGGCCTGGGGCTCGAGCTCCATGCTGTGGCATTGCCCACGGCTCTGACAACAGTGTATTTCCTGGGACCCCACGCAGAGGGCGGGGGCGGTATGGGAAAATCACCTGCCTCCCCTAGCTCCATCCCTGGGATCCTCTGAGCTATTCCCAGAGGACAGTGTGCTTCCAAGAGCCCCAGTGATGCCAGCCCTCATCTGCCTTCTAACCTCAGCACCCAACACATGTTGAAACCATTAAGGGTGGGTGGGGCCGCAAGGATGAAGTGGCCAGACCCAGGACTGCCAGGGCCTTGCCTTCTTGGCTTGGGAAACTATAAGCTAGACTGGAGGCAGTGGGGGAGCTGTCACTCTGGACGTGGCAGAAAGAGCTTCTGCACAGGTCAGACTAGGTGCCCTGAGGTTTCCTCTCAGACCTGAGCCTCAGGGATACAAGCTTTTACTTTTCCCTTAAATGTCCACATTCCTATCTCATTCCCCCAAACCTGCAAGTTCTGAGAGTCCGTGCTGAAGAATCAGCTGGTTTTGCAACCTGAGTGGCAAAACTTTGTGCCCCAGGCCAGCAGACAGTCAGTGGGCCATGACCCCATACTTGTGCCGATGAAAACAAGAAGCTACATGGAAAACCAGAAAACTTGAGAGGTCTTGCTTGCTAAGGCAGCAAGCCAAGCCCCAAGCTATCTGCGAGCTTAGAGCTGGCAGTGAAGAAAGGAAGAAAGTTCCTCGCCGGGAAGGAGTTAGGGCTTCCCTGGGGCTGTGCTCAGGAACTGAGCCTGTCGGGCTGCTAGCTCTCTCTCCCTCCGAGGCTCCGACCAGAGGCCCCAAGTGACCCGGGAGAACCGGCACCAGCCACATCCCTGGGAGGCAGCAACCTGCTGCCGCCACAGCTACAGCAAGACTCAAGGTGTGAAGTGGTCGGAACCAGTACACATGCCGCAGGGGAGGCACATCCTGGCCCCTCTCCCACCGTGGTCTATACCTATGGGCCTGGGCCAGTCCTGGACTGTGAAGAACTTGGAGGGGACCGCCACTGGCCGGCAGGAGGGGCCCCACCCCCAACACCCAGAAGGCACCCCGCTTCTTCCTTCCTCGAGGGTAGCTTTCCCATCAAGTACCCAGGCCACGGAATGGATAATTCCAGGACTTTACCCAGCTGCACTAGAATCGCTGGCGCCATGGAGGGCCAGCCCTGGAGGGGTGGGCCTGGCAGGCTGGGGGCGGGGGGCGGGGAGGTGGGGAGGCCCCTGCCTGCCTGCCCGGCACCCCGGTCAGCAGCCGCAGCCCCAGCTCTCCCCGACGTCCTTGCTGTCAAGCTGGATGTGGTCAGTGCCCTTCTCACTGAGCAGTGGGCCACCGTGTCTGACAACCAGCTCCGTGGCCACCCTCACGAAGGCTTCCTCCACGTTGCTTGAGTCCTTGGCCGACGTCTCAATGGCACACAGGATGTCGTAGTGCTCTGCCAGGCTCTGCGCCTCAGCCAGCGGGACCTCGCGGAGCTGGCCGAGGTCCGACTTGTTCCCTGTGGGGAAAGGCCCAGTGCGGCGGGGTGAGGCCCATGGGTGCCAGCAGGCCCTGACACACTGAGTGGGCCGCACCCAGAGACCCAGAGATGCCAGGCCGACCATCGCGCCCTTCCAGCTGCCAACCAATATCACTTTGCTTGGTCATCTCTCTCTCTCTCTTTTTTAAAAATTTTATTTATTTATTCATGAGAGACACAGAGAGAGGCAGAGACACAGGAAGAGGGAGAAGCAGGCTCCATGCAGGGAGCCTGATGTGAGACTTGATCCCAGGACCCCAGGATCATCCCCTGAGCTGAAGACAGATGCTCAACCACTGGGCCACCCATGTGTCCCTCCCCCTCTTTTTTCTAAGACTTTTTTTAATGTTAAAGCTCTTATTTCTAACATTTGAAGTCCCTCGTTCATTTTTTTTTCTTTTACTTTTGCCAGTGGCTCGAGTATTTTATTGCCTCTTCCTGACAAGCAGGAGCCCTAAAGTTTGGTTAAAGAACACAGTACTTTAGAGCTGTGAGAAACTTCGGCTCCCTTTCACTTGCTGTGTGACCCACAGATAAGTGGGTCACACAGCATCCTTGAATCTCAGTTTCCTCATCTCTGCCACCACCTCAGCCCAGGAGGAATCAAATGGTAAAACGAGCCTGAAAACACAACTGGCACTTGGCAGGCACTCCCTATGTGGTGGTGTTAACAAAGAAACCTAGCACTGTGGGACACCTGGGTGGCTCAGCAGTTTAGCGGCTGCCTTCGGCTCAGGTCATGATCCCAGGGTCCGGGAATCGAGCCTGCTTCTCCCTCTGCCTCTCTCTCTGTCTCTCACGAATAAATAAATAAAATCTTAAAAAAAAAAAAAAAGGAGGAAAGTAAAGGGAAAGGAAAAAGGAAAGGAAAAAGGAAAGGAACCTAGCATTGTTGGGCAGCCCCGGTGGCACAGCGGTTTAGCACCGCCTGCAGCCCAGGGCGTGATCCTGGAGACCCTGGATCGAGTCCCACGTCAGGCTCTCTGCGTGGAGCCTACTTCTCCCTCTGCCTGTATCTCTGCCTCTCTCTCTCTCTCTCTCTCTCTCTCTCTGTCTCTATGAATAAATAAATAAAATCCTTTAAAAAAAAAAAGAAGAAAGAAACCTAGCATTGTGAGTTTTGTCCTTCGCTACAATTTTTTTAGGCTTATTATTTATTCTCTCCTACTTTCCTCTGGAATTCTCTTATTTGCTCTAAGATTGTGGTTTTCGATTATTTTGCTTTCAGCTTGTCAGAGCAAAGCATACCAGCCAACCCGAGGGCACATCTCTGGCTTCTACAAGGCGTCAGAGGTTTCATTATGTTCTAAAAAATCTGGTCAACGGCTCCTTGACCCCATTTCTAGAAGAATTCTTTTAAGTCTCCACTCTTGCCTGTGAAGTCCAGCTCTGTCAAATGCTTGTATATCCCACTCCACACAGCCTGTGAGCATATAAATATGAAACTTGAAAGAATCAGCCTGACTGGGATCCCTGGGTGGCTCAGCGGTTAAGCACCTGCCTTTGGCCAAGGGCGTGATCCTGGAGACCCGAGATTGAGTCCCACGTCAGGCTCCCTGTATGGAGCCTGCTTCTCCCTCCACCTGTGTCTCTGCCTCTCCTCTCCTCTCCCCCTCTCTCTCTCATGAATAAATAAATTAAATCTTAAAAAAAAAGAAAAAAGAAAAAAAAGAATCAGACTGACTGTTGGAGTAAGAACCTCAGGACCACACAAGTGGTCCAAAGCTTCTTGAGCCCAGGTCTGAGGAATTGATTTATGAGGAAAAGCAAAGAGCAGGTAAGAGCAACAGTGGTTCTCAAAGTGGGGTCCCTGGGTCACAAACAGGTGTCCTCGGTACCACCTGGGAACCTGTGAGAAATGCACATTCACAGGCCCCATCCAGATGTGGTGCCTGGCATCTGTGTTTTCACAAACTTCAGAGTGACATGGAAGCACACAGATGGTTGACAACCCTGCTCTGCAGTGTAGTGTGACGGGACGTCACTGAATGACAACTGGCAGAGCTAAAAGTTTCATATTTATATGCTCACAGGCTGTGTGGACTGAGATAAAAGACTTCACTTTTCTGAGCCTCAGCTCCTACCCCTTACAAACAAGGAGTGAGTGGCCAGGTTAAGGGAACTAAATGCAATGACCCAAGTGAAGGTTTAACCAGTGTTACCCTCTATGGTTACATGGTAACCCCTTTCTTCCTCCCTCTAATTCCAGTTTTTTTTTTTTTTTCCAGTTTTGAATATAACTGTGTAAGTGATTGGCGGGATCAGAATTTGGAAGATCACAGTTCCAGTTCTTGTTTCATTCCTGCCTGGCCAAGTTCAGCCTCTCTCTGTACTCCACTTGCCCTTTGTTTAAAAAGGAGAAAGAGGGGCGCCTGAGTGGCTCTGTCAATTAAGCCTCTGCCTTCAGCTCAGGTCGTGATCCTGGAGTCCAAGGATAGAGGTCCACATCAGGCTCCCTGCTCCGTGGGGTCTGTTTCTCCCTCTACCTCTTACCCTGCCCGTGGTCTCTCTCACTGGGTCTCTCAAATAAATAAATAAATCCTTAAAAAATAAATAAATAAAAAGGAGGAAGAGACTAAGACAGAGAGGCAGATCCATGCCCTGAGGAACACTGCTAGTCCTGCCCCGTTCCCCCCAGCTCACCAATCAGCAGCTGCACGATGTTAGAGCCCGCGTACTTCCTCACATCCTCGATCCAGTGAGGCACAGACAGAAAGGAGCTCCTCTTGGTGATGTCGTAAGCGAGGATGGCCCCGTTGGCACTGCGGTAGTAGCTCTGGGTGATGGTGCGGAATCGCTCCTGGCCAGCTGTGTCCCAGATCTGCAGCTAAAGAAATAGGGGGCCTCCTGTGAACCTGGCCGTGTGACCATGTGCAGGGGATAGGGAGTGTAATCCCAAGACCCGTCCCCAAAGTGCTGGTTCCACTGGGCAGGCCCCCAGGTCACACTTTGGCAGGAATCATGCAAGAGAGGCTGGAAGGTAGAGAGAGGACTTCTGGGCCCACAGCAAACAACTCAGTGGCCCAACTTTGAGGGGGCTGGGAGGATGCCAAGGGAAGGTGGGGAGCACTCACCTCTGCTCTCTAGAGCCCCAGGAAAAGGTGGTAAGGGGACATTCCGCACCACAGCAGGGGGTCCATTTGGCCCAGAGTCCTCTGTATGCCCTCTCCCCTACACAGCAAGCTCACTGATAGGAACAATGAACCAGAAGGGCTCTAGCAGCTCACAGCTTCAGGTGTGCTGCGACGCTGGCTGTGTGTGCATGTCCTATACTTTCCCCTCTCTGGGCCTGTAATTGCACCGCTATCCCCAGCCGTGTGGAAGGTTCCTCCAGTATTCAGATTCCCTGCTTCCACCTCAGTGACACGTGGGAGCATGCTCACAGCCTGGTGGTGAGGGGGCCTAGGCTATGGTACTGAGGTCCTGGGGGAGGCAACGTGTAGGGTCCTCCTGTAAGGCCTTTACCACCAGCTGGCCCAGCCTGGCCAAATGCAAGGAACTTGAGGTCTTCCTTTGCCCATGTCTTCACTTAACAAACACCCATCAGCGCCCACTACCAAGCCCTCCTGGGCAATGGCCATGGAGGAGAGGTGCCTGTGTATAGCAGGAGCCTGCCTGGTTTCTGTAGAAGCAGCAGTCTGGCATAACAGATGCCAGATAGGGCAGGAGGCTGCAGCCAGGGCAGACCTGGACTTTCACTGTACCCAGGCTGGGAGGCTGCTCACTCTGGCAGGACATCACCAGCTCTGGGCTGGGGAGAGATGGACTCTGGGAGGGCCTCAGAGTGGGCAGATGCCAGGGCTCTTGGGGCTCAGTGTTTGTCTTCTCTGCTCCACAGATCACAGGTTCTTGGGGCTCCCTGAAGATGAACACAAGCCTCTGATCTCCAGTAAGCTGTAGGCCCATCCATCCTACTTCACTGGCACAAGCATGCTGGGTGCCTCTATCTAGTTCACTAGTCTGCCTGGCACAGGGAAGCACCCCAGAGGCCTTAGACAGTTCCTGAGGGCAGGGCTGTGGAGGTGACCCCCTCTTCTACAACATGCCAAGCAGAAGCCTCTAGTCTTGAGACCTGTTTACTCCCCAACTACAAAAGGCTCCAAGGAAGCTGGGGGTCTTCTAGTTCACACAGAGGGTGAAGAAAAAGGCATGAACTCTGGCAATACACAAACCAAATGACCAAGAAACTCATCTCCATACCCCACAGGAAAGCACACGACACACGCCAAACAAACACAGAAAGCAAGTGACTGCGACGAAAGAAAAACAATACAGAGGCAAATTTTTGTTTACCAAAATAAACATCAATATTTTCAGACATAGGAAAAGATCTGTAAAACAATAATAGAATGCTATTTCTTAAAAAAAATGGGGGGAGGGGGCTCCTGGAAGGCTCAATTGGTTAAGCATCCACTTTCGGCTCAGGTCAGGATCTCAGGGTCCTGGGATTGAGCCTCATATCAGGCTCCGTGCTCAGGGTGAATCTGCTTCTCCCTCTCTTTCTGACCCTCCTCCCTGCTTATGCTCTCTGTCTCAAATACGTAAATAAAATCTTAAGAAAAAAACGTTGAGGGAGTAGTCAAAGAAAAACAGAGGGTGTCTGGTTGGCTCAGTTGGATGCGCATGTAACTCTTGATCTCAAGGTTGTGGGTTCAAGTCCCACCCTGGGTATAGAGATTACTTAAAAATAAAATCTTTAAAAAAGAGAGAGAGAGATTTTGGGGAACCTGGGTAGTTCAGTTGGTTAAGCATCTACCTTTGGAGCCAAAGGTAGATCATGACCCCAGGTCAAGCCCCACATTAGTCTCCTTGCTCAGTGGGGAGTCTGTTTCTTGCTCTTCCTCTCCCTCTGTTCCTCTCTCCCTCACTCATGTTCTCTCTCTCTGTGCCTCAAATAATTTTTTTAAAGTTTTTAACAATTAACAATATAACATCAATGAAAAATGCAACCTAAGCATTGGAAGATAAAGTTGAAGAAATCCCTCCAAAATAAAGAAATACAAAGAGATAGAATAGAGAAGGGAAAAACTTGTAGAGCCAGCCTAGGAGGTCCAATATTAGGATAGTAAACATTTCAGAAGAAAAGAAAAGTGAAGTCAGAGGAGGAAATCAAAGAAAGATTTCAAGAAAACTCCCACTGGGTTGAAAAAGCCTACTAAGCACACACACAATGGAGGAGAACAGACCTCCACAAAATACACCACATGGGAATTCCACAACAATGGGGAAGAAAAGAAGGTCCTAAAAGCTTCCAGAAGGGGGGAAAAAAGAGGTTTTCAGGTTAAAGTTTCACAAAATCCACATGGCATTAGATATTCAATGAAGAATGCCTAAAATTATGATAGAAAATTATTTCCAACCTAAAATTCTCTACCCAATTAGCCATCAGTCAAGTGTGACGGTTTATTAAACACATTTTCAGATACTCAAGAAGTTTATCTTCCCTTTCTCAGGAAGCTACTGACTGTTCCTCTACCTAAAGAAATCAACCAAAAGTAAGAAAATGTGGTATCCAGAAAACAGAGACTTCAGCTCAAAAGAGAGGCAAAGGGTACCTCAGGATGGTGGTAGAGGGAGATCCCAAGACAACAGCTGAGCAGAGAGCCTGGACATCAACCCATATGGAGCAGGCCACAGGGCTCCAGGGCAGCTCCCATCTCTGGCAGGATGCTTACTGGCAGATGAGCCCTCCCTCCATAAACAGGACAGAAAAATATGAGAGGCTGCCATTTTCAAGATGTAAACAACAAGCAGCATGAGACAATAATCCAGAAAGATGCCACCTATGAGTGTAGACCATGAGTAAATCTGTCGTAACAAAGCCTAAAACCAAAGCCCAACACAAGTCTCAGGTTTGGAGGCTGACCCCTGTCAAGTCAGAGGTGATGAGAAAAACATCCTTGGACTTCCACCTATCTGCCCTAACAGAACATAAAAACAAGCTTCAAGGTGATCAGCCAGCAAACTGAATTGACTATCAGGACATGAATTGATGCTCTTTAAAACAAGATAACAGAATCCACAGTCTCACTAAGGCATCAACCACTATTGCCAGTATACAATAAAAAAAAAAAAAAAATCGCTAAACATGCAAAAAAAACCCCACAAAATAACCCTAACAAAATTTGACCCACAAAGGAAAAAGTCAATAGAAAATGATGCCAAAATGATCCAAATATCGGATTTAGTAAGTAAAAATATTACAGCAGTGATTTTAAATATGATCAGAGAATTAAAGGAAAATATGATGACAATAAGTAGACAAGAAATTTCAGCACAAAAATGGAAATTATTTTTTAAAGCATACAAAAAAAAGTCAAAATTCTAGAGCTTAAAAGTACAATGAGTGGAAAATTCATTCTACAATATGAACAGCAAAATGGAGACAGCACACACACACAAAAAGAATCAGCAAACATGAAGAAAAATCAGTAGAACAAAGAAAAAAAATATTGAAGAAAAAGCAACAGAGGCACAGGACACCCTGCGCACCCCTAGACAACAATATCATACAGTTCCATATTCACATAATTGTAGTCCCAGGGAGAGAAAATAGTGAGAATGCGGGAGAATAAGGACTAAAAATTCCAAACTTAATGAAGATATCACCTTGATCCAAAGAACGCAGCAAAACCCACGCAGAAGAAATACAAAATATGAGGGATTATAGCCAAACTGATGAAAACAAAGGTAAAAAAAGATTTTAGGGATGCCTGAGTGGTTCAGTGGACGTCTGCCGTTGGCTCAGGTCATGATCCCAGGGTTCCTGAGTCGAGTCCCACATCGTGCCCGCTGTATGGAGCCTGCATTTCCCTCTGCCTGTGTCTCTGCCTCTCTCTCTGTATCTCTCATAAGTAAATAAATAAAATCTTTTTAAAAAATGTTATTGTTAAAAAAATGTTATTGTTGTTTCTTATAATTGCCATATAAGACAACTGGCTGGAAAACTATAAATAATGACTGTAAAGTGGGGTTTATAATGTATTTGAAATTAAAAGTATAACAATAATAGCACACAAAAAAAGGAGGGCAGTTAAATGAAATTATACTGTTGTGAGGTAAATATACTTGTAAGGTGTCAGATGTGAAGAGAGAAATGAGAAGTGGTGTCAGTCGTAATATATGAAGTGATACAAAACTGACTCTAAAGAGTGTTAGTAAATTAATAAGGATGCATAGTAAGCCCTATATTAACTAGTAAGAAAAATAGCAGGTCAATAGAGGAGACTAAATGCTACTCCTTTTTTTTAAAGATTTTATTTATTTATTTGAGAGGGAGAAGGAAAAGCAGACTCCCCGCTGAGCAGGGAGCTCAATGAGGGGGCTGATCCCAGGGCCCTGATATCATGACCTGAGCTGAAGTCAGATGCTTAACCAACTGAGCCACCCAGGTACCTCTAAAATGGTATTCTTTTTAAAAAAATTTCAACTAAACCAAAAGATAGTAGGAAAGGAACAAAGGAATAAAAAACAGAAGAGGCAAAAACAAAAAACAAAAACAAAACAAGTAGCAAATGGAAGATTAAATTCAACCAGGTCCATAATCACATAATCACATTAAATATAAATGGACTGGGACTCCTGGATGGCTCAACGGTTGAACGTCTGCCTTCAGCCCAGGGCGTGATCCCAGGGTCTCAGGATCAAGTCCCGCATTGGGCTCCCTGCATGGAGCCTACTTCTCCCTCTGCCTGTGTCTCTGCCTCTCTCTCTATGTGTCTCTCATGAATAAATAAATATAATCTTTAAAAATATATATATATGGACTAAACATTCCAATTAAAAGCCATAGCTTTTCAGACTGGAAAACAGGCAAGACTATATGCT